CTAATAATCCATCAAAGAAGTGCACCATTTGAACTGTAATGAATAGTTTGGTGCCTGGATTTTATTTTCATTCAACCTCTGACCAGAAACCAGAAGTTGAAGTCAAAATGGAAACAACCAGCAGGCTGGTCTCRTGTAAAAATTTAAAGGTTTTGTTGTTATTAATAGTGTTCTTTCTCACCATTATGAGCTTTCTGATCAAGAGTTGTTTCATAAAGCAATGGTTCCCAACCTGTTTTCCTCAAAACCTCACTTTCTTACTTCCAAGTCAAACTGAACTACTGAACTGGTGATTTTTATATACAAACAATAAATTTATCTTTTCCTAACCTCTGAACAGACAAGGTTATGGAAACCATCATAAACTATTAGACTTTTTCTTCTTTCTACATGTTATATATTCCTTTAATTTCATAACTGATAAAGCAGGGGTTTCCAACCTTTTTTCCTACTTTGAGCYACTTTCACAAAATTTTATTGTCCAAGAGCTACTTTTTGCAAAATTTAATTTTAAACTTAAACCATTGAAGTAAGCTTGTTTTGCACACAAAAAAACATGTAGACTCCAGCAGGAAGAAACTCCGTACAGTGACATATACCACAGCAGGAGGGGTTTCCCAGGAACTCTGTGTGTCTCAAGGGACTATGAATGGTGCGTGCTATAACTAATACCGAACAACCATACTGAGCCTAAGGGGAAGGGACATCTGATTGGAATTCAATGAAAGTTTGTTTGGCCAGTGACAAATTCAATTTTGCTTCTCCTCAATATTCACAAGCACTGAAGAGCTACTTTAAACGAGCTCACAAGCTACTGGTTGGAGACCCYTGTGATAAAGTGATAATTGTTAAACAGAAGATCTCTTCAAAAAAGTGTAGTTCAGAATCACTCAAGGCTGGATTCTGAGTAAAGTTTATTCTCTCATATAATTTTACCTGTTGCACATAGCTTTTTGAACTACCTCACTCTGGAGAAATATTTTGTTTCTGATCAAATTCACAAGCTAACAGGCCTACAATCAAAAAGGAAATGCATCTTTTTAAAGCAAAAAGCTCTAATCTCAAAACTTTTAAAACAGTTCAAATGATTCCTACGTTATAAACCTTTTGCTTGCCATCAATTTTACAAAAACAAGTATTCAGGCAAAATATTAAGCTATTTCTGCTGGAAGCAATTCAGGCTGCCACAAGTGCTACGGCTAACTGCTGCTGCTGTCACTTTTTGTGCAATTAACCATAGATGTCTATTTAAATAACTGTGTAATGTGAAACTTTTAGCTGTTTAAAGATTTAGAAACTCACTTTTAAATAATTTGGTTTTAAAATGCTGATAATCCACCTTGGTCTGAGGAACCTCTCAGATTAGTCGTTAGCTCATCAATCTGGTCAAATCTCCTAAGTAGTTATTCAAAGAGCTATATACAAGAAGTACAATTTATACTTTTCATAATTTTACCATTTTACCTACTTTGTTTAGAAATAATAAGTTGTTAGGAAGAAAACTTCTAATAAAGATTGTTGTATTTTTTAACCCTATAATTAACAATGTGTATAATTATATAATGCAGAGATATATAATTTTCAAAAGTACACATTTATTTATTTTAGTACACATCAATTGTCGTGAACCTACATTTCGACTGTCCGTTTTTAGTTATTGACATTATTACGGCAGAGCCATGCAATTTAGAATAAGAATAAAAACAAACAAACAAACAAACAAACAAACAAACAAACAAATAAATAAATAAATAAATAAATAAATAAATAAATAAAGTGCTTTAACCCAAAATCTGTTGAAGCAATTCTAAAACCTCTGTTAATTGAAACACTCATCTGCTGGAAAGTGGAAAAATGTGGGTACTCGTTTCAAGTGCCATCATTTCGCTCTTGAGCAGATAATCCTCTAAATGAGTTGACTTTGCTGCAGCAGCACACCAATAAGAATCAGTTTCAGAGGCATCAAAGATTAGCAGCCAGGCAACATTTGATGGGCTCAGATTCTTCCATCCAGACCCAAACCTTCAGTGGAATTCCAGGAGACAAATAATACTGCGCTAATCTTCACCAAAGTACCAGTCAGTGTCCAGATGTCCTKTTTTGTACTCAGACAAATCTTCTCCGTGATTCCGTTTATGGATCAAAGGGTCTCTTGAAGCTTTCTTCTTAGGAAAACTCCCAGCAGCTCAATCAGACACCTATTTCCACCGATGAGCCGAAAGTTAATGACCCTGTTTCTCAGCATTGGCTCCTCCCTATTTTCATCTGGCACCGGTGGTGAGCACTTAATCTCAAGGGGACGCTGTCAGAACATGATGAATGGGACCGGCACTCTGGCTCAAAACCTGCATTAATTTTTAAGCGCAATTACTTGAACATTTTTTTCTGTTAATTTGGCGACATAAGATGACTACAGAGGCGCGCGCACACACACACAAATCCTGGGAAGTTAAACAGGGAATAGTTGAAATGGATCGAATATATCAAAGTGTGAAAGTTATAAGGGCCCCAAAAATATTTTGTCTTGATCTCCAAAGCAGATGGACGTGTTGTGAGGCTGATAACTTGCTTGGTTTGCCATCAGTGTCCTATTTATGCTTTGCCTCATCTGCTTCGATCTAAAAATGAATGAGACACTTGAAAAGAAACAATTAACAGGTCCCACGGTTCACCTAAACGGCTGCTTTGCACCACCTTACGCTGGTTTGTGCAACAAAGGGAGGTTTCCAGTCTTTTACTGTCTGCTGTGGAGAGTTCAATGAAAGAGGCTGAAGGGAGAGATAAAGAAGACTAAGGAGGCTATGATAGAGCAGCAAGGGGTGAATAATTAATTAGGCTGAGTAATTGTACAAACCCAAGATGCACACAACAGGCCTGTAAATATGGCTACGACAGGCAGATCGAAAGAGAGGAGGGAAATCCTTTTTAACATTCAAGTTTGTGAAAGCGTCTGCGTTTGAGAGGAGACTTCTTTTATCTCAGTGAAAATGATGTTTGAGTGGCGAAGACCTTGAAGATTAGACACAATGGTTTAACAGCATCAGGAAGAGCCCTGGAAATGCTTCCTGCTGCAAGTCACAAAGGAGCCACAAGGCCAAGCCCCAGGTGTTTTCTGGGGCAGAGAAGAAATACTTTTCTTTATTCGCTGCAGTCAGGATGAGTCATCTCAGCTCTTTAGGAAAATGAGCTTCGATTCCAACTTTAAAGCTGAAAATGTAGGATGGTTATATTGGGAACATCTTGGAGCATTTAGCAATGTTTCATGCTGTTGTGTTAAAATGTGCAACAATTAGTGTTTGATAGACATACATTATTTTTATTTTTGATCACTGATGTCATGTTTTGATTTTGCATAAATATCTATTAACCCAGTTTTGTAATAAAAGGAAGCTCTCTTAGGGGATGTGGAATAAGGCTGCATCCCATTGTGTTACTCCATTCCCATCCATACACCTTAGCCTTGGCCCTTTATATCATTAGCTGCATTTCCATTGACCATGAAAATGCACAAATTAGAATTTTGAAGATAAATTTGCTCAATGGAAACATGTGAATTTAGAAAAAAAAATACATTTTTCAACAAAATGTTTTTGCGCTGGGATGAGTGGTTTTTCGGCCATATCGAAATTGGTGTTTTTCGCAAAACTGCAATGGAAACACTTTTTTCGAATCACGGGAGTCACGTGATCAACAACCAGCTGTTTCTACTGGCGAAAAAGATGACAACGAAGAAGATAACAGGAAGTAGAATTAGTAGTAATATCACAGAAATAGTAAACGAAAGTAGTAAACTCACCGACTACAATTTCCCAAAAATACAGCATACGTAGCCGCTCCCAAGTAGGGGCTTGTAGCTCAAAAGCCTCGATAAAAGACGCCGACGTCTCCTCTTATGATGAGCGCTAGTGTCGTGGTAGCAATATGCTATGTGTTTACATCCATTGCCGCCATGTTTGTAATGACTTACCCCGAGAACAACCGTATTCACGCATGACGTTAAAAGCATTTCTTACTTAATGGAAACACTGCAGTTGCGAAACTGTGTTTTTCGACATTAACAGAGTATCGACAAAGTTTTGCGGACATTTGCAATGGAAATGCAGCTAGAGTTAAAGCTGACATGATTGGCGAAGATAATTGACTTTGTTACYAAACCTCACATAACTGAACATTTAACTTTACATTTTAATTATGGGGTGGGCAATCCTGGTCCTCGAGGTCCGCAGCCCTGCATGCTTTACCTTTTCCCTGCTCCAACATGCAAGGCCGGATTAACYATATGGGCAATTGGGCAATTGTCCAGGGGCCCACGGTCTCCAAAGGGCCCTGGGCAGTGAAGGCACGGACACAACGGATGCAGAATATGCGTGGACATGTCTCCCCRCACTTCCTGCATCTGCGCTCTCTGTCCCCGCACTTTTCTCAGCCGTAACAGCTGTTTTATCCATTATTAACATATGGTAATGCATTTTTCTGAGCCGTYTTTGAACGCACCATAAGTGTGAGCATGCTACTCCTGCAGATGAGATGACTGATAGGACCTGCTGTGCTGAGCAGAGCCTCCCGGTGTAAAGAGCAACTAAAACTTGGCACAGTTTTTACCAAACAAACCATGTAAGTTGAGTCATGTTGTTGGAGGCAGATAATGTTAGCTAAATGAAGAGTTACACATTATATAATGTTTAGCTAAATAACATGATTAGTTGTTGTTACCTGTTACATCCCTTGCCAAGTCCAGTCGTCTTTCATTTCTGTGCAGAAGTCATGCTGGCTGCTTTCCACATATTTAAAATAAATCTTCATTGCCACAGAACAAGGTCAGGGAGGAGACAGACCAGATAGCCTACAGCAGCAGGGATCATAATGCAGACTTTCCTCAGGTAAGGAGAAATTATGACTTTTATTCTTGAAGTGGGACAGTCTTTAAAAACTGGTGTATAGTTTGAAGTCTCTACTTTTGACA